TTCAGGAGATACCGTAAATTTATCGAGAATTTATCTTACTGTCTATCCTGAGATCGAGTCTATCGAGAATTGTCTATCAAACAAGCTACCTATCTTAGCACAAGCGAACTATATACGAACTTATGCAGGCTCTGAAACTACTAAGGTCTCGTCTAAGCTAAGGAATGCGAACAGAGTTCTTCTGAGGAAAAGCCGACGAATGGAAGAGCGGAAAAGATAAAAGACTCTGTGTTTACAGCCTGTCATGTGACTAAAAGTGAGACCGGCTTGCTGATGATCAATTTTTTGTAATATTAGTTGAATATCAATATAAGAATGGACATTAACATAATATTTATGCTGAGTACACTGTTTTTTTATTATTTTTTATTCCAGGAAGTATTTTTTGCTTTACGCCTTTTGATAGTATGACTATTAACTTTATTAAGGTTCAATATAGTCCAATTCTTCTCAATCTTCGACTACAACACTCATTGTTGTCACTTCATCGTTTTAATATATTCAAGCAGAACCCCGAGTTCACGCTAGTTTCAAATGTTTTACAACCTTATGTTGTAGATTGCGATATCATACCTGCTCCTTCCACAGACCATTCCGCCATCACACTTTAAACTAAAATCATTTGATGATAGTAGCAGAGGACCATCGTTTTGGAAGTTTAATAGTTCTTTAGTTGAAAATGAAAAATATGTTATAGCTAGGTTTAAGAGATAAGATAAAGAAAACTCAAGCATGTTAAGGCCTGGGAAATGCTTCGTGGAGGGTCTAAAATCACTTTACTTTTGTCCTGTAGTCGTTTTCGCTTCAAACCTTACCAAATCTGGCATGGGCATGTATCTTGACGATCTTAAGATTTTAAGGAGAAAAATTTTACACTATGGTAATCACGTGACCACGTTCCTTACTCCCATCAAACCAAAAAACTTTGATTTAAAACAGGAAGATGGATATGATGTGTAGGAAGGACTTAATGGTATATTTTCACTTCTTTCTAAGAGATGTATGCGAAGCTGCCTGAATACCTGTTGTTTTTTTATTTGGAAGTAGGTCACGTGACCTCTTTTATGTAATATCGCAAAGTTAGGAAAGTTAGTTCAGGTATTAAGGCAGATATAGAGGATATTACATGGGCGCGCGGAGATACGGATTTTATCTTCGAGTGTTGAAAAGATCTCTCACGAGTGAGCTTAGCGAACGAGTGAGAGATTTTCAACACGAGAAGATAAAATTCGTATCTCAAAGCGACCATGTAATACTCTGTTTATCATATAATTAAATATGAAAGCAGATGTCGGAAAATATCTT